ACAACCTAAATTTGATAAACTTGTATGCAGTTAGGTTTTAAATATAATCTTAAAAATCTTTAAAAGGTTAGGAAAGAAATCCCCATTGATACTAGAAAAACGATAAGAGCAAAGAGACTTGAGAAACCTATTTTCTTGAAGAACTGTTTTAAGACAAAGATTTTGTAAATTTTAACCAACACAAACTATTCAGTTATTGAATACCAAATGTTTCTTCATAATGTAACAGTTAATCTCACTGTTATAACAATATAAAAAATCAACTTTGTTTTCTATAAGCTTCATACCTTATAAACAAAAAAAAAGTTTAAACTATACACATGCATAAAATAAAGTTATGTATGCTCTATTCCTGATATTGAGCACTTTAACTCAGATATAGCATACCTTAAAACTATATTTTTACAGAAAACTGTTTCATTGAAACTAGATTTAATTATGTGTTTCACATTTCTAGAATTCCCCAGATCCAAAAACAAAAGAAAGAAATATGTGTGCATGCTTAAATTATAAATCGTTAGTACTTTTACCACTAAGGTGGTGTTTCTTGTGATGAAAGAAAAGAATGAAAATGAGTGACTTTTCTTTTCCTGGATCTGATGAAACCTAGAAAGGCAAAATGCATAATCAAATTTACTTTCAATGAAACAGTAATCTATTTGTCATGCTTCTTCAAAACTTTGTCAGGATTCTATATCTTATTTTATACACACACACACATACTGACAAAAATACATTCACATTATTTATACACATCATACATAGGCTGTGTTAGGTAATTGAGAACAAATTCTGAAGTTAAAACAAAGATATCTAATAGAAAAAATTTAAAAATCAGTATATTTTCAAAACAATTTGTATATATGTTCAATGTAGAAAAACAGAAAATGTTATTCAATAAAACAAGCTTCAGCCATGAGGATGGCCTTGATGCAGTCTCAGAAACAACTGCATATCTACATCAAGTAGTCATCATTTATGCTGACTATCCACATATCCTTGATATTATGGGGCAGCTGGTTGGTCTCCCTCTTGATGATGCACCAGACATTGTAATCAATTCTATGGATTCATGTCAGGTGAGCTATAAGACCATATTTTCTAGGTAATATGGTCATGAAAATTCTTGGCCAGCCACTTTGAAGTTACATGGGCCACATGGGAAGGAGCAAAATCCTACTGGAACACATAAGGCCATCCCTATATCCAGTGCCTCCATGTGGACAGTAGCATTAACCCTGACTACAAAAAGTTTTAAGAATGATATGGCTTTCATTGCTAATGACCGCCAGTGTCATCATTGTGAACATAAACTTGGTGGACATTATCGTGGATAACCCAGGAGTTCCATGAAGAGTCACCTATCTTTCCTCCTGTTCACCTGGTCACTTTCCAGAAACTTTCTATCCGTGAGTCATAGTGGTTGGGGACTAGTGCCACAAATATTGGAAGGGGCCATGTTAATGCTCTTGATACATCTGAAATAGAAACGAGAATGTTAAGATATGATGCACACTGTGTAACATTCCATTAGGTCATCTTTCATGGTAGATCAAATGTTTATAAATGAATAACTAATTTAAAACACATTTGATACAAAAGAGATGTTATGAATTGTATTAATTAAACTGATAACCTTACAAAAGCAGTAAGTTTGTTTCTGCTGCCAATAGTTTGTGCTTGAAATCAGATAAATCATGAATATCACAAGCTTTATGGTAGCTGCTTTGTTTCAGGAGATTAAGAGTACACAGATTTCCCAATTTGGTTAAGCAAAGTACTGTCTCAGTAAAAAAAATGTCTATTCGTATTAATTAATACCTAATTTTCTTTTCTAGTTTTATTTTTTCACTAAAACAATCAAAATCATTTGAGTGCATTGTTTTACACAGCATTAATAAAAAGAAATTTGAAAGAAAAAATTTCCCATTAAAATTGATAATTAAAAAAATATTACTAAGATGTTGAAGTGCATTTTAGAAATGAATATTTTCTAATCATCAAGAAAAAAAGGATCTTTGCAACTAAACTAACTAAACTGAATAATAAAGTTTGTAATGATGTAGTAAACATTCAATTTTTCTTAATTTTTTCATTAATTTAAAAAATCAGTTGTTTTTTTTTTCAATAATGTGAAAAATATAAAGCATGCGTTTTTTTTTCGGAAAATAAAAAAAAAAAAAAAAAAAAAAAAAAAAAGAAGATTAACTTAAAAAAAAATTTTAACTAACAACAAAGAAATGCCAGGAACCAAGTCCAAAAGAAAAAATTAGTGAGATCAAAACACAAAACAGCATCATGTTTTTTGTTGCTCCATCAACCAGGAATATTTTTGTTCTATTGCTTATTTTGAAAATACAAACAAATAAATGTTTGATATTTTGTATAATTTGCTGCACTGACCTCTTGTCGAGGTGTACAAGGTTATTAATAAACACCTGACTTCAGTTCTTCATACGCATGAACACTGAACAGACAGACGGAAGAGATTCATTCATTTTATTAAGAAAAAAAAAATCGTTAGCCTGGCTGACTGCTGCCGGCATTTATTAAGATTCTACTAAACAATGACAAAGAGACAAATCGCAGTTTAGTATATCCCACCTAATGCCCACATCATCAACAATCTCTGATTCTGCTTACCCTAGTTTTATTAACACCGAACAAGCGCTGATTTTTTACTGTTCAGTGTGTACGATATATAAAAAAAGAAGTAAAAAACCAAAAAATACGATCAAGAGAAAGGCCATAATTTTTGTAGGAGAGGAACACTCGATGATCTGTTTATTTATGAATTAAAAACTGTACCCTGTGAGAGTAAAAAAGAAAGAGTATAAGAAAGACACACACACACACAAGGCGTTCGAGTGAAATAATGAAAATTAGTTAGTTATATAAAAAAATAATATTTTTACTCAGTTAAGATGAAGAACTAAAAAAAAGAAACAACCTATAAAAAAACTAGAGTTGGCAATTGTTTCTTCTTTTTCTTAATTTTAGCAATTAACTAGTTTAAAAACATTAAAAAGCATAGTGACTATATTTTTGTACCATACTTTACAATACATCGTCAAATTATTAAGAATCTCTCTAAATTTGTTTAAAAAGCGTTCAATTACTATAACACACGCCTACACTAAAAACAAAACAAATCATCCGTTTCCATCAACTACTGAATTGCGAGAGAGAACAATTATGAATTAACTATTTCATCAGGTAGAGAGAGTGATTCAGTGCTGAAAAAGAAGTGAGAAAAGAATTATGCTTTATTTATTTCTATTTTGGAATGATGGGGTGCTACACTTTTTTTACGCCTTGAGGGGAAATTTGTTTCTATTTTTTTTTTGTTTTGTTTTTAAATTTTTAGTGACGACTTTAAGTAAATTCTTTCCGCATGTTAAAAAAATCATACCAGTATAAATCTTTTTTTTTTTTTTTTTTTTTTACATACAAGAACAAAAAAGGGAACTCTTAGTGACACTTTGTTGACATTTTAAAATTCCAAAGTTGAAATGATTTTTATTTTTGTCAACAAAAAATTGACGTAAGCAGCTTTTGTTTTCATTGTCAAGAATTTAAAAACCACTGTCGACTACTGAATTCAACTGATGGATTTGTCATTTGTGTTTCTAGGTTATTATTATAAATTAATTAAATTGCTACTAAGTTCCGTAGAATAAAAAATTCAATTTTTTTAGTACGATTACCTCTCTAGTAGAGAATTACATATTTATTTCTGAGATTCATAGTCAAAAAGGGAATTGTTAAAATAACAAAATTAAAAAAAAAACATTGTTTGGCATAATCTGATAAACTAGTCGTCATCGGCAGTTTATTTCCATCAGCTTTTTAAGGTTACACACTATAAAAAAAAAATTGCACTGAACTTTAAACAAAAACTCATGTCTAAGTGACACACATTTTTTTACAAATATAAAATAAAAATCAGCTGCTTGTTGGTAAATAAATATTTTCATTCAACTTAAATGACTTCTATTTTTCAGAATTTATCTGATAAAAAAAATGAAATGTCGAAACAAATCCTTTTTAGTTTAACACAACTGCACAAGAATTGTAATAAAAATTAATAACAGAAGAAATAAAATCCTGTAGTAAAAAACTACACACTTTTGGCTCTATAAGATCTTCACACTACAGATATACAATTCCTAACAAAGAATCCATGCAGTGTATCAGACGGACAATAGCACACACGACCAGATTTGTTTTTAAATAACCTGAGTTATAGAACATGTATCATAATTGCTGAAATTTCCCTGTAGGAAATAATAACGTAAAGAAAGTAGTGTGTCATTTTGTTACGATCAACCCGGCTTTTAAAACACAAAACAAAATCAAGGCAACAGGAGTTTGCAAATGGAATTACTTGTAAATAAAATGAGATAGTGAGACAAAGAAAAAATTAAAGGTTATAAATCAGAAACAAGATCTAACATTACATATTTATGTTCGAATAGCTTTAGATTTAATATCATTTTTAAATTAATCTAAATTTTATTATTTAGCTACTATGAAAATTGATCCCCCAATTCAGGAACAACATTCGGACACCTTTTCTAACGAAAACAATGAAAAATTTTGTTAGATAAAAAGCTCGTATTTTTGAAAATGTACAAAATATTATGAAATTCATTCATGTTTTCTAATTTTAAATGTAATAATTAAATGAATGAATCAAGACAAACCTTCTATTCATGTAACTTGCTTTTTTTTTTACACTACACTACCGTCACAGTACACATTTTATTGAAACCCAGACTTAGATATTTGATTTCGTTTACTCGGTTTACAAAAAAAAATTAAATGTCTTCTTTACTACTTTTCATGCAAAAGCAGAATAAGTCTAATTTTGGCTATGCTTTAATTATTTTGTAAATAAATTAAAGGTTGATACACAGTTTATCTGTAGCTTTCTATATTTTTATAGTTCAACAATGCAGTGTACGACAACCGCCATGTATGATGTTTGTTGTACTTACTGTCTATGTGCTGTCTTCGGCGATCGCCGCCGATCGGAGTTTTTATGGCCGACATTCGGACTCCTTGGAGGTGTAACATCCACCATCAGTCCGGAGCTACCCCCTGGAGAACGATTAGGGCTAGGACTTGGGAAATTCGTACTGCAAACCACTGAACCGGACATAGAGGATGATGACTGATGATGGTGTTGTCGATGGTGGTGATGTAGAAGTCCAGAGCTGTCGGCTGCTAAATCCAAATCTTCATTATCTCTGGCTCCTAGCTCCAGCAAACTTCGAGCGTGTTGTTTATTCATATCGACGACCAGAATTTTTCACCCGTACAGGTGAGGAGAAACTGCTCAACAACACCTCAAACTTCACTTCTCTCACCTCCTAATGCGCGATTCCTTCATGTTTACTAATACACACGGAGATCATCTGATCATGGAAGACTGCTGCTGCTACTACTGACACTGGCTTGTCTTCCGTCCGCCAAGGTTCATTTTGCTGTTGTTTTGTATTTACGCAATAGTTTGCTTTTATGGTGTTTTCTGCATATATTTTAAGATGAAAGGAAGAAAACGTGGTTAATGGTTCACTCCAAACTCGAATAAAAGGGCCTTTTCCCACTCGCTTGTAAGTAGTTATCAGTGGGGAAAAGTTACCTCCCTTGTTTGCTGCTTGTAGCGTGGCGCCACCAATCAGCAAGGGTCGGCTGCTAGTTTTTGTATAAAAATTTAAATAAACATTCATATTACTTTATTAAGAATTCACAGTGGATTATAATCATTAAACAGTTTTTATAAAAAAATATTTTACAATTACTAAATTAATATTAATTAAAAGACACTTTTATAAAATTTTATGAAGATTGAAACAATATACTTTCTTTTAGTTTTAAACTTTGTTTTTTTTTTGTTTGATCATCAAACTTTTAAACTTTGATCTTACGACCCGAGATCAGCTGATGTTTAGTAACTATGAGAAAAGTAAAAATCCTACCTATAACAAGTTAAAAGTTAAAAGTAAAACGCATATCTATAGTTGGACCATGTTAGTGCATTCTCTTCTACCTCGCTATTTAAAATTTGGATTTAAAAAGCAGGAAAATAAAAAAAAAAATTTCCAATTGAATTTTTTTTGGAAACAACTAAAAAGAAACTCAATGCTTTACGTCAGTGAGTAATTTTTTTTAATTTACAGGCAGTAATTTTTAGGTTCTTAAAAACAATTCTTTCATGAAGCCGAACATTTGGTTAATTTGAAGTGTAAGTGATTTTCTATCGTTAGAAAAGGAAACTTTTTAGTAAGTTTAAAAAAGCATTTTTTTTTCAAAGTGTTATTTTTCATTGTTCACCGATAGCACATCCGACTACCTGGAAATTTTGTAAATTGTTTTCTTGAAGTCAATAACGGATAACTTTAAATTTAAAAGTGTAATTTTTCATTTAAATTTAATATAGTACATAATGTTTTATTTAAAGTTACTTTTCTATGCAGGACCAGTTTTAGGTTAGTATACAAAAACCTAGGACCCCTCAAGCTTCTCTTCTGCTATTTTTTTTAATTTTCTAGAATCTAGAATAGATTTACAGTTAACTTCTACTAAAAGTTTCATAAACTGAAATGATATCAATATGACAAAATCATATTTATTTTGATTGTTTTATTGTTATAAAAATCTGTTGTGTTTTTTTGTGTGATTTGTGATTTTTATTCAATTGACAAGCAAAAAGATAGCTATTCTAGTTTATTTTTAGAGAATTTCCAATAGGTTTCGTTTACTACTTTAAGCTATGTAAATGTCATATATATATATATATATATATATATATATATATATCACAAGTAAAAAATATTGAAGACGATGTGTAGAGGGTGGCTCCGTTGATGGGGTGATGGATAATCTGGCTCTGACTATATGCATCTTAGTTTTGTTTGTAATTGATTGATCTATTTCATTTTAAGTTTACATACATAAATCAGTTTATTAATAATGAATGCATGTTTGTTAGTGTCTAACTGTTAGACTCTAACAAATGGTTCTTGTTGGTACTGTATAGTGCTGTAGTGAACAACACAAAAAATAAATCAAATTTGTGTGAAAGTCATAAAATTTAGTCGATAAGTTTAAAATAGAAATTAAATTTTCATAATGACATCGGATTCATAATTTTTTTTTATAGAAAATCCTAACCACATTGCAAATGATAAAGAATGGTTAAAAAAATGTAGGTACTTTGGGCCGCCTTCCATAGAATGGTCGTCAGCAAGAAAACCACTAAGATCTTTACTCTTTCTTGAAAATATATTGAAAAGTCTATTAATTTAAATACCAGAATAAAATAATCAAAGACACTAAGTTTATTTACTAAATTTAAATTAGTACAAAACCCCAATAGTGGAACAGAGAACCCTTTGTCAAGCAAGAGTGTCTCTGTTTGATTCTCTATTATGCCTTTTTGAGGATTCAAAATCAAAAGTATTCCCATACTTATTAAATCTGAAGGTACTTCTCTTAAATTTTCAACAAAATGTATTTTATTAAAACACGGTGAATGAATAGAATGCATATTTTCTTCTTGACTTAAAAAAACACCCCATCTCCCAAATCAACCCCTCCAAAAAAATCCCCCTCCCAAAAAAGTATTCACAAACAAATCAAGAACTTACAGCTGAATTTTTGCAACTGTAAGATATTGATTTGATCTATTTCAATTTCTAATCACACCAAATTTAGTTTCCGGACACATAGTAAAGGACAAAGATATTTTACCCTAAATTTGGAGTATACTGTGATTACATGTCGCGGAAATCTATCCATTATGATCTGACATCAAGTGCTTTTTGATTTGTATTTTTTTAGTGTTTGTTCTTTTTTTTTTTTTTTTTTTTGCGTGCATTTGCTCTGCTATGGCTGTATAGGTACTAACATACTTACTTTTACATCTTTCTGTGAGATACATTTTATTCGAAAAAATTAAAATTGGATTTTGTGGTGAGTACGAAATAATAACCCACTCCCTTCAAATTCGGGTGAGCTGAGGAAAAAGACGGAAATAAATTTGCAAGTCCATGTGAAATTTTCTTTGGGAAAATGAAAACCTTGCCTTCACAGATTGGCCGGAGAGCTGAAAAGAAAAGGAAATCATTTCATGTGCCTATGTGAAATTGCTTTTGGACTAATGAAAAGCTTGTCTCCACAGAAATCAGCCGTTGAGCTAAGAAGAAGAAAGAAAAGAAAGTAGCGAGCCTATACGAAATTCTTTTTTTTTTATATAAAATGAGGAGAAAAATTAAATTAACAAGAGAAGAGTATCTGAAGTCATGTGAAAGGTTTTGTTTTTGCCTTAACCAAACTAGAAAAAAGAAAGAAAAGAATTTTAATCAAAGAATTTTCTTTCAAGAATCCAAGACAGCTAAGTATTTCAAACTATCTCTCTTCGCCTACCTTTGAACGTATGTAATCATATATCTCTTCTGTGAGCAACGAACTCTCTTACCTTTTAAACATTTTGAATATTATTTTGTGTCAGATCATTTATTCTGTTGTATGAACATTTCCTCTTTATGACAATTCGTTAAAACTTCGGACTTTAAACATTTCTTATTTTTTTCCTGGAACGAGTTACTAACACTACTTCAAGCGTGTAAATTCGTAAATAAATTATGTTGTGGAGTAAATAAAACACCCACGATAACACAAATGAACTAGACAAGACGCCTTAAATAAAGATTTCAAACTGAGCCCGTTGGAGTCAGTCCGGAAGAATTCTAATGATGCCACGGCAACTAGACTAAGCAAGATATTATAACCACTCGGAATGAGTTATAACAGTGGCGTCGAAAAAATCAAAGCTCATGCGGAGTAGGAAACACACTTATTGTTTCGACACACAAGATAATAGTGACGACGAGAAATTAGAACCACTTTGGTTTAATTTTTTTCTTTGCTGTGTGTAGAAAAGAAAAAGAAAAAGACAAAAAACAGATATTCTTTAAATATGGAATAATTATTAGCTCAAGTGGTAAAAATACAACAACAGCAGCAGTTGTTGGAACTCCAAAAACAACAACAAAATTTAATTGAAATAATACTGAAGGAAACGGAAAATTTCCCAAGTTCGTTCACTCTCGATGCGGTGGCAAATGCCATAACTGAATTCACATAAAATTCAGATGATGGAATTACCTTTTCTACTTATTTTAGAAGATACGAGTCAATTTTCAGAGAAGAATGCAGTGACTGAGAAGACGAGAAAAAAACAAGACTTCTGTTGAGAAAGTTATCACCGGTAGAACGTGAAAAATACTGTAATGCTGTACTACCGAAAAAAAAAATCGGGAGAAATTTGCTTTGAAGAAACAGTAATTATTCTGACTAAAATTATTAGCGAGAAAAGTTCGTGATTCAATACTCGTTGAAAGTGTATGAATCTGACGAAAAAAGAAGATTTAGTCATATATGCTGGAATCGTTAACAAGGAATGTGAAAGATTCAAATTAAACGGATTAACTTCGGATATGCTTAAAAGATTAAATTTTCTTTCAAGGGTTAACGTCGAAAAAAAAAGACGCAGAAATTCATGCTAGAATTCTAACGAAACTTGAACAGATTCAAAAAGTAACACTACCAGAAATATCAAATGAATGTCAGATAATCTTAAATCTGAGATGCAATATTGAAGAAATTGAAGAAAAAGAATACGCATACATACAAGCTAAAGCACAATGTGGGAAAAGAAAAATTAATCCATGTTTTAGATGAGAAAGGTTACATCTCAGAGACGACTTTCCCTTCAATAATTCAAAGTGCTAAAAGTGAGGAAAAGTAGCACATAAAAGTCACACTGCAAGACTAAAGCAATGGAAAGAAAAAGAAAAGTTATCACAGAAAAAATTCGTACACAGCGTTGCAACGGAAAAATAATTACAGAAAACCAAAGAAAATTTGTGTTTGTGTGAATTTAATAATGTGGATGTAAAAGGCAACAAGACACTGGTTGTGATATCACAATAATCAACGAAACCACATGGAAAGTAAACAGAAACCCTATATTTTATTTTATTTGAAAATCGCACATGCTTCGTGTTCGCTACTACC